CAACATCCTATTGTGTGAGGATGGCTTTTCTGCTTGTGCTTGCCATCCCAACGAATAAGTTCAAAGCTGATCATTGAGAATGAAATGAGAGGCAGTCTCAAAACAACAGCCCCTGGTTTGAGAAGATCTGCGAGGGAAAGAAGCACACCAGAATATTGATAAGCTATGTGTGGAATAGAATAGGTAAAGTGATGTGATGGTGTTTGCACCTGCGTAGAAATACGTAGTTAATTAATATTTTTTATAAGAAATGTTGACATTGAAAATCTTTGCTCAGGGAGAAGTCCAGCGCAGTTTGAATTAGGCCAACTTCATTCACAGATTAATTACAAGCACTCTTTGTTCATGTGTAATCCATAATAACAGTATAAAATTAGTTGGATCTTTGATATCTTCTTATACATTAGCAGGAAATGTAATGTTTTTACACACAATATAAATTAATCCTACCAATATAGACGGGAACCCGGGTTGGGGGGGGCTCCGAACCATATTTCCAATTACCCAAGGGGGCCCGGGACTGAACAAAAGTTGGGAACCACTGGCTGTAAACAGCATGGAATGTTATGTGGGAAAAAAAAAAAGGTATGAAGTATTTTATGTGGATAAATTGTTTTGCAATAACATAAATAATATATATAATATAATAGACTGATGAACCCAAGACGATTGCTAACAAACATCGGTAGGATTTTCTGTGAATGGACAAGAATTGGTGGGAAGCGGGGAGCTTTACGGGGACTGGGTGGCATGGAAGGGATATCCCTATATTCTTTCGTTTGTCTTCATTTTTTCTTTTTGTATTGTATATTGTCTATATAATTTGTATCTGTGCGTATATAAGGGTCCTTTTGTGAGGGTGAAACAGAAAAGAAAAAAGTTGGTCACAAAAACAAGTATGTGTACATTACTTTTCATCTTTATGCTGTTGCACACTCTGGTTAGAAGCCTAACTGCATTTCGGTTGTCTCCAGTACGTGTAATATGTGCAATAAAATAAAGCTGTAATCTAATCTTGAACAGAACACTTTATGTTACCTAGTCCATATCTGACATTAACGATTAACCATTATGTGCAGTTCTTTAATGCAAACCAGTTCAAGCCGTCTCCGAGCTGTCCGGCTTCAGGCGAGCTTTTTGGACCTCCCCGGGCTTCTATCGTGCTATTCTGTCTATTTTCGACGATGAGCCGCAGCTGTCTCAACAAGCTATTCTCTCGTGCGGTGAAACGCTGGGCTTTATTGCTACTGTATCCGTAGCACCCCACGCATAGTTGGGACAGTGTCTATGACGTCAGTAAAAAAGGTTTGGCCCCTAAACCAAATTGCAAACTCCGCCTTGCTGCCAAACCTCCCGATTTTTGCGGGAGACTCCGGATTCACATTGCCCTCTCCTGTGTTTCCTCCTGGGGTCATATTTCTCCCCGCATTTCTCCCGATTTCTGACAAAATTCTGATTTACTCATGACTGTTTCCCACTTGCGACTTTAATACAGCTTCAGCATTTGTTTGGTTTCCATGGTGCACATCTTTTTAGGTAACACTGCGTGCCACTGAAAGTCTGAGAGGGTGTTCAGCATGGTGAGGAGATAGTCACAGAAAACAGAACAAAGTGGAACAACTCTACCCTCTGCTCACTGGCTTTCCTGGTTAAAGAATACAGGTCCAGCTCCACACAGCATACCAGGTATGCTCATCAAGGAGATGGTGGCTACAGGCAGAATGCAGCATTGCACTTATAACCTACAACTAGCATGTGTAAGATGTTCTTTGTTCATCTTAAAGGTCTGTTTCCCCGCTGCGAGCTCAATGCGCTTACACAGTGTTCTAACAGCTGATAATGCTTCCAATTTCTGAGGGTCTCATGGTTGGGATACTCTGGTCGTAAGACCGCCTAGTGGTATCTCGCTTGTTAGGCAAAGTATTGTTAACCAAGATAGCTCAGAGGACATCCAGGGACTGTATAACTGGACTTCGTATACAGGACACTTGATCGATTAGGTACGACTTAAGCTCCTGTAAGCTGCTCCCTCCACACTCCACACAAATTCATACAGACATAAATAAAGCTGTATTCGCCATTACAGGAGCACACATTTAAAACGGTTTTGCCTTGCCGTTTTTTGTACACAGCATTCCATTAATGGTTCGGAAAGTGGCTGTTACCTTAATAAGATATAAAAGATTGTTTTTGCGTGCATTTCCGTTCGGAAAGTGGCAAATGTCACTGAGAGTGGGAGGGTGTCCTGAGATTAGAGCGCCTGGCAGGCAGGCTCCATTGACCTGTCAGCTCGGACTGCGCAACATGCGTACATGAAGCGCTACGTCATGAACGCAATAAATCATTCCCTCGTGGGGCATGCTCATGTGATTGTCTTAGAATGGAGGAGACATCTGATTGGCTATAGATAGAAATCCTTCTGTGTGCATGTGTGTATTATGAGACTGTTCTGAGCCCATACTGAAACCCTTCATCTATCAGATTATGGTTATTCTTTTTGTTGAAGCTGCACAAAACGTAGGCATTTATTTAAGTTTATTGAATTGTAGGTGAACGGGGTGGACCTGCGCGGGGCGTCTCACGAGGAGGCCATCGCCGCCCTGAGACAGACGCCGGCGACGGTCCGACTGACGGTGCTGAGGGACGAGGCGCAGTACAGAGACGAGGAGAACTTGGACGTCTTCAAGGTGGAACTGCAGAAGAGGAGCGGCCGGGGGCTGGGACTCAGCATCGTTGGGAAGAGGTCCGCTGAAAACTAACACTCTTGATCACTTCTCACACATTCCACTGCAGACCCTCAGTGTGTGTTACTGCTGTTGTTGGTTAAAATGTCAAACTAAATGTATTAAAGGTCCCCTATTATACTGTTTTTTCATCAATATATTATAGGTCTAAGTGTTTGGCTCAAAATACCAAAGAGATCACCCATTGTAGCATCCCATAATGCCCTCTGTTTCAGCCCTGTTTCAAAAGTGCTGATTCTCTGTCTGTTACTTTGGATGAAAATAAGGAGCCACTCACCACGCCCCTCTGAGAGATTTGGTTAAAAATAACACAATGGTGCTACCTTGGTTGCTGATTGGCTAATCGCTATGACATAATTAAGTGGCCAAAATCTGATTAGTTTATTTTCAGACAGGTTTTTATTTAAATGGATCAGGACAAAAAGTAAGCGAATATTTTTTTTGTTTTTACAGAATCTCTTTCCACAGAGGGGAAACATGTTTATTTATAAAAGACATGAAAATGGATTTTGCATGATAGGTGACCTTTAAAGTTAAGGCTGCACCACTAATAGAAATGTTATATCCTTGCGTACCAATCATATTTTAGAGACTTAACGACTGTGTGTGGATGTGCAAGGAGTGGCAGTGGTGTGTTTATCTCTGAGGTGGTCAGAGGGGGCGCCGCTAAGCTGGACGGTCGTCTGATGCAGGGAGATCAGATCATGTCAGTCAACGGAGAAGACACAAGACATGCCTCCCAGGAAACTGTCGCTGCAATACTGAAGGTAACACACACGTAAACATACATACACACATACAATTGTTGATTGCTTTCAAGGGCTCAGGTGTTCTTTTTATAATTTTCTTTGCATTTTTGCCTTAACTTGATCTATGGAAGTGTAGAACAGACAGGAAACAAAGGTCTCTGGGCTGTGGAGATTGATGGTCACATATTTGTACTTTGGAATGTGTATTATTGTGTCCTGCAGTGTGCTCGAGGTCTGGTCCTGTTGGAGCTCGGACGACTCAAAGCTGCATCCTGGATCACCTCCAGACGCAACTCACAAGGAAGCCAGGTGTGTTTGTGTGTGTGTGTGTGTGTGTGTGTGTGTGTGTGTGTGTGTGTGTGTGTGTGTGTGTGTGTGTGTGTGTGTGTGCTTGCACTGTATATATAGTTCGGTGTTTTATATTAATAGAATAATTAAAGCAAGTGTTAAATGGTGCACATTTATTCTCTCTTAAAGTTGAACCATTATTCAAGGTGCTACTAAGCAGTGTGTGCAAACATGATTTAAGAGACAGCCTGTTGATTTGTAAACAGCTGATAACAGAAGCAAGAAATATCATCTTTTGTATAATCTGTCTTTATTCCAGATGAGTCACGTGAGTGGGAACAGCTCAGGCATTGTGGCTCCACCCCTCACACATACCTCAACATCACCTGACCCTGTGAACTCTGACCCCCCGACAATGACCCCCACTGGCTTATTGCCCCTTAACAACAACATGGAGACCACCAGTGACATCACTTCCTCCTCTAACAACACAGGTAGAGAGCGGAGTTATTAGGATACATGAAAAAATACATAACATGTCCTGCATGTTGGGAGTGGATAACGTTTTTTTTAACTGAACTTTCTCAAGCAGCATCAAAGCCTGAATTCTCACAAAAATAATTTGTAATAAAAAAAATCCTCAATCTTGTGTATACTTTGAAATGACTGAATTATTCAGTATCTTTAAACAGTTTATAGGCCAGCGTTAAAAAAAAGATGTAAGGTGATAAATGATGTCTTTGGGTTTACTTAAATGTAAAGTAAACAATGTCAATGTCATGTGAAGGGTTACATAAAGGAGTGGATTTATGCCACGTTCACATGTCTCTTATGGGGTAAAAGAATTTAGCTAAAGTATTTTAACAGGATTTTAAGTTACTTTAAAGTTTTTCTATAGCTTTAAACAGGTTTTCATGGAATCGTAAATAATGTAATTATATGATGTTTGTATGATATAATATGATAGTGTGATATTGATGCAGACAATCACTGTTATTTTTTCCTTTCTGTGTGTTTGTGTAGGGGTAGATGCTGGTATCCGAACAGTGGAGATCACACGGGTAAATAAAAAAGTATTACACAAATTGCAGACATACTGTACACTTCCACTAACTATACACAGACAAGTCAATTATAAGAATAACACAAATATAAGTATAACAATTAAAAAGTACATTGTCAATGGAAGAAATTGAGTTCTTGATGGAGGTTAAAGTGTATATTTGTATATGGCAGGTATAAACCTGAGAGAGGGACTCATAATCCTGCGATGTGCTGACATGTAAACACTTATTTTTGCTGGATAACTTCTGATTGTTAACAGCATCTCATGAAAGAGTAACTGTTTTTGAAGGAAGTGGTGTCTGAACGCTCACATGATGTCTGGACGGAGTTCAGCTTCCTGAGGAAGACCAAATATGGTCAGATGAGGTGTTTGTGTTCTACAGACAGATCACCTGGTTTGTCCTATTAGATATTATAGTGTATCCAACATCTATGTTTATCAGGTCTACTGCAAATATGTGACCCTGTCCAAATTCTATGATGGCAAAATGTTTAACAGTCTACCTACCTGTGGAAATAATGCTTGTGAGAAAGTATGATAAAAACATTTTTATTGCCAATTAAAAATGCGGATTAATTACATCGGCCACCCTGCACCGAAGGCCTTCTACCAACTACAGTAGCAGAAATATAAATAAACATTAAAAAGCTTTTTGCACTAAATAAATCATTGTTAAGCAACGTTTTTGTACTGAAATTATAACAACAGACTCAAAGCCAACCTGATATATTTATATAATTTCCACAAGTCTCAAAGCTGCAGAAAATAAACAATTAGGCTTCTATTACACCAAATATATTGAAACATGCACATTCTTATATATTAAAGCAATGATGCAGTGGTGAGGGTGTTTAAAACAAACATCCGCCTGACCCATCGGATATCCAATCCGTCAGCCTAACCTGGAACGATATGCACAAACGACCACTCTCCTACACGTTCCCCTACCTCATACACGTGCCCCTACCTCCTTCTTTGATTGAAAAGCCAGTTTTTTGCTCATATAACGAAAGTAACATCAACATGTATATAGGTCTCATTTGTTTATTAAAGCATTCTGACCAACCAACCAACAAACTGACCCAAAGGTGTCTGCTCCAACAGAGTGAAAGCATGATACAGAATGTGATGGGTTAGAGATGATGGTGTAACACCGGCACTTCCTGAGGAAGCTGAAATCATTGAGGGGAGATTAGCACTCGTCATCTGAAGCAAGTCTTTACAATTATGTCGACGTTTCCTCTCACTCTCACCCCTCAGACTGTCAGTGACTCTCTCGGGGTGAGCATAGCTGGGGGGAAGGGCAGCCCGCTGGGTGACATACCCATCTTCATCGCCATGATTCAGGCCAACGGTGTCGCTGCCAAAACGCACAAACTAAAGGTAGACTAAGATCATTTTGGCTGTGTGTTAGGATTTGTTCTTTTTGTATCAATGAAACACAATAATACCCCATATAAAATAAGAAAGCCCGTATGTGTGTGTGTGCTCAGGTGGGGGACAGGATCGTCAGTATTAACAGTCAGTCTGTGGACGGTCTGTCGCACAGCGAGGCCGTCAGCATGCTGAAGAACAGCTACGGAAAAATCAGCCTGAAGGTATCACTGCCGGTGTTACACCAACCTCATTGTGTGGTCCTACTTTACACTTAATCCAAAAACAAACACAAAGCAGCACTGCTGTAAATAAACTTTAAAGGTACCCTATTGTGCAAAATGCACTTTTTAATGTATTGAATACATATGTATGTCTCCACTGTGCGTTAAACGTAGGGTTGGGTACCAATACTTAGATTCCAACAACACCATTTAGAAATGTGAATTTCGGTTCCGCTTTTCGATGCCTGAGGAAATGTTTCTCGCCGCTCTCCGTAGCCTACTGTATGACTGCAGCAGGGCGGGAAATGTAGCGTTGTACCTACACTTCCTACAGCGTAACCTGGGACCAGGGCCGGCCTGTCGCATTGGCGTTATAGATGTTCGCCTAGGGCTCCAGATCTGTGGAGGCGCTGCGCTGACAAAAATGTTTTGACCGTTGGTGCTCATCCGAATNTATACTAATAAAGGGCTGGCTTATCTAAAGCCAGTTGAGTAGCACTTGAAATGTTTGGCTCTATGAAACCTGATGTACTTATATGATTCTGTTTTCTTCAAGGTTGTATCTTCCTGGTCGAATGTACTTATTGTAAGTCGCTTTGGATAAAAGCGTCAGCTAAATGCAATGTAATGTAATGTAAAATATCAAACTTTTACAAAAGAAAAAACCCGACTAAAAAGAAAACAAACATTTTCATACTAGGTGCAAATCAAATGTTATATACTCACATGAGTACATTAATGTTAATAATAAAAACATTAATTTGACCTTACATTTAATTTTCTTTCAAGAAAACAAGATGTTTTATGTGCCTTGAATAGTTTTTTTCTGGATATAGAAACCAGTGATTTTTTTGTCTGTGGGAGCAGGTTTGAAAAAATTGACAGGGTTGAAAAATTGATGGGAATAATAGAATACTGTTTCTGAAATTATATAAGATTGCATTTGCAATAGCCATTCTATTGCATAACCTACTCAGCAAAATAAATAATCTGCTGAATAAACCATATGGTGAAGCAGCAGACGGGGAGACCTCACTCCAATCTGCAGGTCATGTTGGATGCTTCTCTCCTCCTCAAAGCGTTCATCAGGATAGATTTCCACTAAATAATTACATGTTTTTGTGTCTCATGGACATACTTTAACAGTGAGTGTGTACAGACCACTGGAGCGTGTGTGTAGGAGTGTGTGTCCATACGAGCAGCTCTGCATTCCAGAGGGATAATCTTATCTCCCTCCTGCTGAGCAGATGGACCTCTGAACTGCAGGGCAACACTCATAAACACATCACACAATCTCTAGTTCATATGAATAAACAAAAACACACGGACAACAGAAACGTTGTGGTAAAAGAGCATGGGGAAATGTTAGATTAGAAACACCATGACAAGTACTGATATATCTAGGACACAAACTCTTCATTTTTCTTTCAGAGTCAACATGAGCATCACTGTATCGTCACAATCAAACACTGTGACCGACATGTTTGAATTTGATTTATCACATGCACAAAGGCGAGTCAGTCTACATAAACATCAAATGCAAATATGCTAAAGTGACCACTACCTGTCCTCTGAATGGACTGAATGACAACCATGCACCTGAGTGTTCAGAGGGCTATTGGCCAGGGGTTTTAAAATGTAAAACATGTCTTGAAGCTGCACTTGTGTACTTGTCACTTGAGCAAAAAACATTGTACAATCACAATGGTTTGGGAGTTGGCTTCTTTTCATTCAGATGAAAGGACACTGGAGCACAATTTGCTCACTGCCCCTCCGCCACCTTAAATCACAGCTTCACTGTCAAGGACAATAAAAAGGGACATTTATTTTAACATTGTTTCTTGTGGGGACTTTTAGTATGTTCACTCCCTCATCCAAACTCCTCTTTATGGAGGAATGAAAACTATATATGGATCTAGAAGAAAATCACATGTTTAGGTACCATCAGATGAAAGAGGATGATGTATTTTCTTGAGTTTGGAGAAATCAAAAAGTGGAGTATGAAGAAGTGAAAAAGAGATTGAATCCAGAATAAGCGTATATTTGAATTGTCTCTGAAATAATTTTCCAATTGACCATATAATAATTGTTGCTGTTGGAGCAGTTCTAGGGTACTTAGATGAGAAATGTAACTAAATTCAATCAATCCAACAACAACACAAAACACGTATGCTACATATACACAAGGTGGTTTATTATAAATAATTAAACAGTTCTGGAACATACACGATTGAATCAAATGCGACATGGAACACATTTGTTTCCCCCATTCTATTCTTGTCAAAATCAACTTTGTAAACCTGTTTCTTTAAGAATAGCCTTAGATTGATCTTGAACCAACACATTTGATCAATTAATTCAGTAACATTTGAGTTTTCACTATGCCACCCTATCAGTTTTGAATTGTTGTTCTTTGGTTATACAGGTGACGGATATCAACTGAAAATATATCTGTTTTAGAAGAAATTTTCACAGAAGAAGGTTAAAAGGCTTCCCAACAGCCTTCGCTGGAGCAGATTTGCCAAAACCCATACAACACATACAAACTGCCTGAATTTTCTTTTGAAGCACAAACTGGTGATATAACTCTATAGTCTGTCTATTTGAGTTTAAATTGTGCCCGTATGACTAACCCAAGACATTAAACCAGAGTGTATTTAACGTAACCTGCTCTTTAGGAATCCCCTTAAATGAGAAATATTTGATATGCAACTTTTACCTTAACCATTAACGCTCACACAAGCCATTGTATTGTATCATATCCTCCTTCGCACTCTCCAAGAACTTGGAGTTTCCGACTCTGCACTTTCCCTCCTCACTTCATACCTCGAAGGCCACACCTACAGGGTAACTTGGAGAGGGTCCGAGTCCGACCCTTGTCAATTAACTACAGGGTCCCTCAGGGCTCTGTCCTTGGTCCCCTCCTCTTCTCTCTGTACATAAACTCACTCGGATTTCTCATTAGCCCGCATGGTTTTTCATACCATTGCTACGCTGAAGACACCCAATTAATTCTGTCTTTTCCCCGTTCTGAAACCCAGGTCGTCGCACGCATCTCTGCTTGTCTAGCAGACATCTCTCGGTGGATGTCTGCTCACCACCTCAAGCTCAACCTTGACAAGACTGAACTGCTTTTTCTTCCGGGAAAAGATTATCCCACCCTTCACCTAACAATCAACATCGGCCCCTCTGTTGTTTCCCCGACTCAGACTGCAAGGAATCTGGGTGTGACCCTAGATAACAAACTGTCCTTCACTGCAAACATCGCTGCTATTACCCGCTGCTTCAGATACACTCTTTACAACATCAGGAGGATACGTCCCCTCCTGACCCTGACCCAGAAAGCGACGCAACTTCTGGTCCAGGCTCTCGTCATCTCACGCCTAGACTACTGCAACTCCCTCCTGGCTGGTCTACCTGCATGTGCCATCCGACCTCTGCAGCTCATCCAGAATGCAGCGGCTCGTCTGGTCTTCCACCTTCCTAAATGTTCCCAAACCACATCGCTCCTCCGCTCCCTTCACTGGCTTCCAGTAACTGCTAGAATCCAATTCAAGACACTGGTACTAGCGTACCATGCTGTGAATGGATCTGGCCCTTCCTACATCCAGGACATGGTTAAACCATACACCCCAGCACGTGCCCTCCGCTCTGCATCAGCCAAACGGCTCGCTGCACCCTCACTGCGAGGGGGACCCAGGTTCCCATCAGAAAAAACACGTTGGTTTGCCGTCCTGGCTCCAAAATGGTGGAATGAGCTCCCCATTGACATCAGGACAGCAGAAAGCCTACACATCTTCTGGAGCAGGCTGAAAACGTATCTCTTTTGACTCCACTTCGAGCGATAGAATTACTAACAAAGCACTTATATACTAATAAAGGGAAACCTAATGTACTTATGTGATTCTGTTTTCTTCAAGTTTGTATCTTCTTGGTCGAATGCACTTATTGTAAGTCACTTTGGATAAAAGCGTGAGCTAAATGCAATGTAATAACAGCAGGGAGCTAAAACATCAAACATTGTGTCACAGTCTAAATCCATATGGCGCTCAGGACATTCCATTCCATTGACTTAAATCAGTGGCAATGAATTCTTAATGTCATGAATGCACTTGGCAAATATGTGTGGATGATCATTAGCTAGTGATAAGAGTTCGTACAGATATAATTGTAATATTTTCCTTATGCACCTTTTGCATCACTACATGCCAGAATTCATTGTAACTTGAAGTCACTGATGTCCAGACTGAGCATGAAGGAACAAAGCTAGAGGATGTTTGGTGAAGCATGGAACTGTACAATCTCAATCAGTTTTGTTGTATTCCTAAACTGTATACTCGATACAATTTCCACACATCACAAATAGGAAATGCACAATTTAATTACTACTCACTTTAGTTCAACAAAAGTGTTCAATACATGCCATTCAGGCAGGTTCCAATGTTTAGAACACAATCAGCCAATAGAGCTCCAGTGTATCCTTGCTGTTTACTGTCCGCAAACCTCTCAGGTCAAGTTAATTGTTTTGTTTTGGTGATAATTATTAATTTCCCTATCCAACAGAAACGTTATTGATATGAAGGAGTTTCATCTTTATCTGACACATGTTAATGATATCAGCCGCTTATGGCTCATATGCAGGAAACTAAGGAAGCTCATAATTGTTGTATTAGCCCCACCTTTTTCAGTCCCTTTACCATTCTCTTCAAAGTAGAGCATGCCCTGTTTACACCTTGTCAACAAGGAAATATATTGAAAGCAGGCCTAATTCACGGGAGCTCATTTTGTTTACAGCTGCACGACGTGTAGCTGTTAACACATATTTTTTTAGGGTTGAATAGCTGACTGGCGGTTTTATGACATTGGCATGGACACATTTTCTTCTAAAACAAGGATCTGTATGTTAATCCCATTGTAGTTAATAATAACTTATCAAATATTTAACCTTTATTTTGTGAGCGTTTGGATCCAGCTGCCTCCTAAAGTTCACACACTGCATT